TTGTTCTGCATCGAAAACATCACCTTCGAAAAAACGGAAAAATTTTTTCAGCTATCTTCAAGTCGAGCCCGTCTGAAAGCAGCTGAATAAATAATAATAATAATAATAATAATAATAATAATAATAAATGTTACCCTCAGAATTCTATTCACGTCCGATTAGGTGTAAAAAAATTACAAAAAATGAGCCGACCTGATGTGAGCAAGATAGAACAGCGGGTATTGTGTTGGACGGATAATCAATCACCTCGACTGAATCAGTCGATTTCCAAACACGTTTGATCCGAGCGTCGAATTTCGGACCGTTGATGGTGATACCGATTGAAGACCTCTTCAGGGATCAATCATATTCTTTAGCCCACAACGGGTGCATCGGTTGCGATTGATATCTTCTGGTTCTCACTACTGGAAAATAGATTCCACAAATGAAATTGATCCGGTCAAATCCGAGGCCAATACGAAAAAGGAATACAACGGTGTAACATGTTAAGACATTTGGACGGGTTCAATTTGAGACCAGAATCGGTTAAGAAACGTTCTGTCTGGGACCAGCCCTCGTTGAGTATTCCCAAATCAAATCAGTGAGAAATATGAAATATTGGGTCCACTTTATCCAATTCTTGAGCACAGAGGGAGAAGACAAATACTGTGAGATGTTAACATTTCTTTTAATCTCTTCAGTTACTACAACTCAAAAACAATCTGGTATTTATATAAGCAAGTTTTGATAAATACAGTGGTTCAACGGACAGTTTTCATGGTATCGGGAGGGAGGAATCAGTTCTACGGCATTCTGACAGATTATATCAGAAAATTTTGTGCACACAAGATTGGGTTACGTAACTTGATAAGCATCACCTCTGAACACCAAGATCCTGGGATTCGTGTTACGTAATAACGGCTTGAAAGACAAATATCAATCAATGATGTGTCTAGTTGTCACCAGATGTTTTGTGATTGATAACCCTGGATCCCCCTTCTCAGATTGACTTGTGGGACTGTGGCGTCATTGATTGTACCGACCACTTGGGAATGTGTCCAGATATCGTTTGTACCAAGGATCAATTCGTTCTGCCGATATAAGTGTCACCGCAACTGCAGGTGAACTGATAGACGACGTGTGAACGGGAATTCTGCGGCTGGTTCTGTTTTCGATTGTCCAAACGAAGTTCTTGAGTATACAATATCAGTGGAAGCTATGCGGCAGGAAACAATCGACATAATGCCGCCTTGAGCTTTTGATGCACTTGGTTCATTATCTGATCACAAAGGTGGTTGTCGTAGTGACCCCGCTAACTATAGACCTGTGACCCTGCTTCCAGTGTTATCGAAGGTCATGGAGTCAATTGTGGCCGATTCTCTGATGGAACATCTCGAAAGATACAACATTCTCTCGACAGCTCAACACGGGTTTAGGCAAAAGCGATCCTGCACCACGAACTTGCTTC